GTGGGTGAACTGGGTCAGTCAGAACAGAACTACACAGAACAACTCTAGGCTTTACCAAATGTCTTATTCAGATGCTCCGAAACTCGTCAATGCAGAAGTAACAGATTCGACCATATGGTTTCAAAACTATCCGGATGCATGCCAATTATTTGCTCCGGAGACCGCAGAAGTAGACCGGAGCTGCACAAAGCATGAGCAGTAGGATTTAGTATTTGGTGAAGTCTTTCAGCACTTCTGAGCCAACGCATCACCTCTTCATTCCGTACAGAACCGAAGCTGATCACCGCACTGTGTCGATCATTCGTCTGTTGCTCTCAACCAAGGCACTCATCCATAATTAACCCCAAGAATTTCACTGCGCACCGTTTTAAACGAAATTTTTGCAGTTGGCAAGCAAACTCTGTTTACAGGCCTAAAACGATGTAAATTACAGTCTGGAGACTTTTTTGGCTGAAATGTTAGGTCATTGTGGCTCCTCTGGTCCCTCACCTCCTGAATGGAGATGAAAATGAATAATTCATATCTGTACTGAAGCAAACTGAGCAACGATGTCGCCTTACTTCAGGCATATATTGATAACATAGGATAGTTGACATCGAGAAGTGTATAAGATGAGTAATGCAGATGACAACGAGGAGCACTGAGCGACCCCTGCAGCTATCGGTTTATTTTTACGAACTTGAACAAACATGGCCATCAGGTTGAAATTATGAGATTCCACCTACTCTGATGCTGACCAACAATCAGAGCTGCTGAAACCTTGGCGGCGCTTCGTAAATTGAGCTGCAATGCAGAAATACACCCCTTACTAATGCTTGCCCTTCGTCGGCGTTGCTCGCAACGGCGTTGAGAACTACAGTAAGCATTTAAAGTATTGCTTTCACACACATATCTGAACTGACATGTACCGAAATGTTCCTGTACCATTGGATAAACCGATGGTGAGAAGATTCCTTCCAAAAACTTGAAAAAAAGATTCTGCTAGAAATTTAAAGTTCATATTATTTTCATATTATTCCTATTTCTAAGTGTATAATGATTTGTCCCCCTGTATTTTCAGCTTCTCATCAAGATTGGACAGAGGGTATTTGAATTAAATTTTC